AATAAAAAAAAAAGGTCTCCACCACTGTTTGGTAGGACAAAAACAAACCCTAGCAGAGAGAGTGAAGCACAAGTTGATTATATTGATTATTTTTGGAGAAATAAAATCTTTCTTTTACATAGAAGGGTAATGCATGACCTATTACCACATTCCCCTAAACCTTCCAAAGTGGCACCTATTCGTTTTTGATGTGATATGTTGAAGAACATGACCAATACTTATGTATATATGTTGAAGAACAATAATATATTAAATGTGATGCGTCTATTGTCTCATCCATGCAGTATACACTTATAATTTTCCCAAACCATGCAGATATTGATGCGTGCCCTCTCTAGTCCGCCTTTTGGAAATTATCGAGTTTGGTGGTCATTGGCCGATTCAAAGTATGCTGGGACTGCCTTGTTAGTGAAAAAGTGTTGTCAACCACAAAAAGTATCTTTCTCTCTGGAGGGAACAGGTATTTGGTCTATTATCATAACATCAGAGCTCCATATCTGAATGATGTTGAACCTGTGATTGGTCTGAAATGCCCAAACCAACTACTAGACTACTTGTAACTGAAGCTTTTGAGCTAGAAATTGCTAGGCAAGTGGGTTGTGACAATAATTGTTCACTTCTCTCTTTGTGGTAAGAAAAGAATCTCCTATCAGTTTGCAACTTAAAACAATGTAACCTTTTCCCTGCTAGGAAATTGCAATGTGAAACTGATTATTTCCTTTAGTCATTCTTTGATAGAAATACTCTTAAGCTATTATAATCTGTAGCTTTTTTATCCTGTTTGACCATGTACATTTCTTTAAAATGGAAAAGAACTTGAAAATGTAGTTGTATGCTTTAGACAATCAAATAAAATGCTTTCAATGATTTATCTCTTCCTTCATGAAACAGAATGTGTTTTAAGCACAATTGTTTTTAAATTGTGGCAGTGGCTAGTTCCACTTGTGAAAAAGAAATGTTATAACTGTATTCATATTTATTTTCGTATGACATACTATTTTTCTTTTCTAATTTATTAATGGGGTGGTTATTAATTAGTGTCTCTTGTATGTTTTATTAGCTTCAAAGCATGAACAGGATGGGAGGGTCATTTTAGCTGAATTTGAGACTTTTCGTTTGTTGAATACATATGCACCGAACAATGGTTGGAAAGAAGAGGAAAATTCATTTCTAAGGAGAAGAAAATGGGACAAAAAGCTTCTAGAGTTTGTTGTTCAACATTCAGATAAGCCTCTTATATGGTGTGGTGATCTGAATGTGAGGTGAGTTCCTTGGGTTCATTAGTTATCATGTGTGTTTTGCATCTTATTCTGAAAACATGCAGCATGTCTTAGAGCTGTTTTTCATTTGCAGCCATGAGGATATTGATGTCAGTCATCCAGATTTTTTCAGTGCAGCAAAGCTCAATGGTTATATTCCTCCAAATAAAGAGGTCATTAGATCGTTTTCTTTTTCTTGAGCCAAGAGGTTTCTGCATTTTATACTAAAGCATTATATGGCATCTTTTGGTTTCTTTAAACTTGATGGTAACACATTTTCATGAATGTGTTTCAACTTTCAACTCAAAGGTTGTGATAAATATTGAAATAAGAAGACAGACTGCAAAAAAATTGTGTTGAATTGTTGCATTGAAAACTTCATGAGTATATGACGTTGCAAATTGCACCTTAGATGGTCCATAAACAACCTTTGCATCTTGTTCAAGAACAGAACAGATGGTCGGAGTGATTTAAAATGCTGTTTGAAAGACCACCTCATTTTTCATTCAACACCTTGTCTCTTGTACACTGCTCATGACATGAAGGTTTTATTGTTTAACCCCTCAATATTTCCTTAAAACTCCAAACACGCTCTAAATTATGTGGTGTACCTTGTCCTACTTAAAGAATTACTAAGAAGATGGTTTAAATATTGCAGGATTGTGGGCAGCCTGGATTTACAGTTGCTGAGAGGAAGCGTTTTGGGTCAATATTGAAGGAGTAGGTGATTCCATTTGAAAACTTCATTTTTATTGTTTTACTTTCAATTGGCCAACAATATTTCATGACCATAGTTTTTGAGAACAAGGCCATGTTAGTTTGAGACATTTGGAACTTAGAATGGGAAACTAGTTCTAGCCTCATCCTACTTGCCTTCCTGGCTTTTTTATTGGGAACTATTCCTTTCACTATGTGATGCTGATTTCTGTCTTATCCATAGTAGAATGCTCTATTGGTCACAGTAATCTATATTCCTTTTAATGTAAATCTTACCTTAATACAAGGGTTGGACTTTAAAGAGTTTTATGGATTGTGCTTAGGGGAAGGCTCATAGATGCTTACAGATACCTACACAAGGAGAAAGACATGGAGGGCGGATTTTCATGGTCTGGACACCCCATTGGAAAGTAAGTAAGAAATTTGCAGTTAACTACCATCTTGGGTGATTACCATTTCTATTAGCATTGTTATTATTATTATTATTATTTACTGTTGCCTTTATCATTGTTGTTATTATTATTATTTTTTTCTTTTTTCTATTAATAAGGTTTTGTATGATAAAGAGTTATAAAACTTACCGTTCAAGTGTATGACATTTGTAGTGGTATAATTGACTATTTTAAGGTTGGGGTCTCATGGGTGGATTTATTGCAGGTATCGAGGCAAAAGAATGAGAATAGACTATTTCATTGTTTCAGAAAAGCTCAAAGATCGGGTTGTTGCATGTGAGATGCATGGGCAAGGGATTGAGTTACAAGGTAAAACAATTTTGTTTTTCCTGTTTTTTGGAAATATTATCATGCCATAAAAATGTTGAATTGAATGGGTATGTAGATGTCTGGCCAAAAAAAAATAATAATAATAATAGTGGGTATGTTGATATGTATCATTTTGGTTGCTTTAACCCTTGGAAAGGCTGGTTTACCATTAATTTGGTCTATTTGCCTTTTATATTCCACAAAGACTATTCAAGCTTTTGTTTGAAATGAGCAGTCATAGAAGTGATTTAGTGGTGAGCCTCTTATACATCTTGTAGACAAGAACTTCAACTGGATTTTCGCTGCTAAATCAAGTAGTACGTTAATGTGCTTGACAAGCACATAAATGTTTTTTTGAATATGTTATGGAAAACAAACCTATAATTTCCTGGTATTGTCAGCGTCTTGTTCCTATTTCTACTTGTGCCATATGGAATGTCTAAAACTGATTTCGGTGAATTGGTTGCAGGATTTTATGGGAGCGATCACTGTCCAGTTTCCCTTGAGCTTTCACAGGCCAGCAGCACGGTAGCACAGATCGAAGTTGTTAATCATATGTGATGTACTTTTTTTTTCTTAACAGGATCTTGCCATGCGTTGTTTACTTACCACAAATCTTTTGTACTGACCCGAAGCAATTTATTTCCTCAAGTCTGCAAACTCGTTTTAGTCTCCTCTCTCTTTCTCCCTTTTACATATATGTATAAATCTGGAAAGTTGGGGAAAGGGTGACTTGTAATTACAAGTCGCATGCCTGAGTAAACTTACAACTTGGGGTCTGAAGGTTATATGCTTGCAGCCCAGTAGGTCAATGATAACGGTGCTTAGTCAAATTATAAAAAGAAGTTAAAATAAGTAACAGAAATATCTTTTTCATTTTAAGCATCTAAATACCTGTTTAGTCCCTAAATTGCAAATTTTCCTGATGTTGACATGTCGCATGATTTAAACGAGTAGCTACAGTTATGTTAAACTTAAATTTGTTGTTATTTATGGGTGTGGTAGATCTTATTGATGGTTGTCACTTAAAAGACCAGATAAGGAATTATGGTAATCATTTCCTAATTATTTGATTTAACTGAGTTGTCTGAGATAATGATTATGATATTGGAGGAAGCTATTGGCCAAATTGAGCTAATGAATGAATTGAAGAGTCTTGAAGCAATCATTGACCAAATTTGTTGCTAACCTATATGGTCAGACCGAGTGCTACAAGCTATTTTTGGACACTTTTCCAAGCTATAAATATGAGGATTTCAACATGGTTGAAGAGACAATCTTTCCTAGACACAACTCAAGACAATCTCAGCAACCATTGCAATTGTTTAAACACTCTCAGACTCAACTTTAGCACAACAAGCTCTCAATTAGCTTGGGGTTGATTTTAATTCATTAATTTATCAATTTGTTTACACCATAAATTGCATTTTTAGTAATGTCACGTCTTAATGGATAAGGTGAGATCAAATCTACTAAAAGGATGCATATCTATAATAATTGATTGGAAGAATAAAGATTATCCTATTTGTTGCAGCTTGAATTTAAAAGAAACAAAAATCCCTAGAATTTAGAAGGAAGTTCAGTTGAGGAGTTATTCGTGATCTGAACAACCAGCAATAAAACAGAGAGACAGTTCACAAGAAGCGTATAAATAGAAGCTTTTTGATTTTTCAACAGACACGACTAGCCTTATACAAAACTCATCAAATTTTTTCTTTCTCTAGTTTCGTAATGATTGCTCACCTTAGCTTTCAGATTTTAGTTTTAGCATAGATCCCAATAGATTTAGGTTGTTTTCAGTATTCAAGTACCCAAATTAGTTTGTGTAATTGCTTCTTTGATTTCCTTTTATGTAATAACCATCAAGTTTACTCTAATTTGCATTTCATTTAGTTCATTTAGGATTTATTAACTTTAAATTCATGGTATTGGTGAAGTCCTTGGGAATATTCAAGGCAGATTAGCAACCAATTTTGTAGGAAGATATCCCTCCCTCCTACAAATCGTTTGAAGGGCACAAAATTCAATCTTAAATCAATGTTTTTCTAGCTATCCTATCGGGGGTTGACAGTGTGAAAAGAGAGGGTCATTGAAAAAATTATTTTTTCTTGTTTTACAGAAAAAGTAAGTAGCACGTCTACATCCAAATTTTGCACGTGCAAAGCCATTTGAGAATTTTTGAGGAAACACAATCAAGCCTATGTAATTAGTCAAGCATCATTTTATTCGTGGAAGACATTGCAGCTTTAAGGTATTGCATGTTCTTCAATTCAAATGCGTATTTGGTATTTTGTGATAAGTATTATTTCATTGAATGATTATTTATATGACTTTCATATTTCTATTTACTATTGTACATATTAATCTCAATCATAATTGCCTAAGCATCATAAAATTAGTTCATTTTAACTAAGTTCAAGTCTAATTGATTATTTAATTTTTAATTTTTCAACAACTTAATTTAATTTGTTACTAATTCGTTAGTGTGATATGTTAATACTTTTAGTTCAATGTCCTCACCTGCAAATTCACTTTATTAGTGTTCTTTTGGCAAGCGACGCTCATTTCCATCTTTTGCAAGGAATTTAATGATTTTAGAAATGAGGGTGTTAAGGTCCTCGAAACTGTCCATAATTGATAACGCTTTGGGATTAGTTTTTAGAAATAACTATAATGGTTAATGAATACGTATTAATTAATATTTAAATTTATATTACATTTGATTTATTTTTTTTATCATATTTTTTTAAAAAAGATGGTTCAATTTACCATTCCCTCTTACTAGACTTAATTTTTTATTTTGAGCATTTAAATTTAATTATTCACTTATCTTTTTAAGATATTATTTAATATACTTATTCTTATTTTATTTTTATTTTTAAAAAATAATTAAAATATACATTGATGACTTTTTTAGGTAGTGATTAATTAATAATGAATATGAAATATCTTTATTTTATTAGATAAAAAAAACCAAATCTATTAAAGTGAAAGGAATAATAAATTTTAATTTTTAATATAGCATTACCATTTTTTTTTATTTTGCTCTTATTAATAATTAAATTCTTAAAAAACCCATCCCAGCTTTCCAACTATCCTTACTGAATAGGAAATTTTAATTAATATTAAATGCATTTTTAGAAATCTTTATAATTTTTTCTACAATCATATTGAGTAAAGGGTGACAAATACAATCTTTCTGCTTAGGGAAAGCAGACCCTCACTTATCTATGACATAGATGATGGCATGATCTAATGGCCAATGATCCAGTGGCAATCATAATATGATGATACAGTGATAATTCCATTGATTTAGAAGTTAGAGGTCATTTGGATTCAAATCAAGTCTTTTTCCTATCGTAAATGTTCATGAACTGTGGTTCGAACCTGAATGGCATATACCATTATGTCCTAGTCCACATAAATTGCCACAGATATTACATGATTTTGCCTTCAGGAATACGACAAATCAAAGGAGAATTAAAAGGTACTCAACAGAATTCCAATGGCAAGACCTAAAAAACGCTATCATTTTCAAGCACAAAAGCCCCACTGAGAGCCTAGTACTCAAATGGGATTCATTCAACAGGCATAAAAAGAGTGTAACAAATATTCCTTAACTGTAAAGTAAAAACTTGAGCACAGTCATGACTGGAACGCATTTAACATGAATACTCCATGCTCAATATTCCTTGTAAGCTGCTGAATGTTGGCAGTACTTCTCAACAGGCCCAGAATCCCTAACAAATTTCATAGGTCAATGACACGTGACAACTTCTGGATTCGGTTTAATAGGAAGTCTCCTTGCTTGATAGTTGCTTGGTAGAGAGCATTCTTGGCATCAGGGCGATTAGTTTCAAGAACACCAGCAACTTTGTCAATCTTGCAATGAAGCTTTCCTGCCGCAATGAAACGAGATAGCTCCCTGGAAAGCATAGAAAAGCAATGTTCATGGATTTTGGGGGCGGATAGTTTATACAAACTGAGATCAAAATAAATATGCCACATAAACATGTGTAGGAAGATTACCAGTTATGGTTGGCCAAAAAAATAGCCAGTAATGACACAAAGAAAAGAGAATAATGAATCAACAGCATTTAATCACTTACAGGTCAATGAACTCCACAGTGACTCCAAAAGCCTTTGCCATTGCTTCAATAGTAACACTCTTGTATGATTCAAGAAACTGAGAATAGACAACAGTTCTGACTTCCCTCATGTAAAACCGAAAGTGTGGATGCAAATAGCGGTCCAACTTTATTTGTTCTGTCAGGCCAGCTGATACATAAAATAAAACAAATTGTGGCTTATTAGAGGGCAAATCAGCAATTAAAAAAATACAGCTATATGTGGCAGTTCTAGTAGAAATTAAACATAAAGATGTGAAGTGTGACTTATCGAAAAAAAGAAAATAATAAAGCTTTGAAAGGACTGAAATTTTTACATAAAGTCATAACATTATTAGATATCTGTACATACCAAATGCTGAGAAGAATGATTTATACTGACAATCATATAGAGAGTTCAAAAACTCTGACAGGCAAGGAATTTTCCCAATAACTGTCAAGATCTCAGGAGCATCGACAACCTAGAGGATTTAGTCAAATAAGTAACTCCAGAGACAAAGGAAAAAAAATATAAATAAAAAAGTACAAATCATAGAACAACCAGATAGGAAAAACCAAAAATACCTTCTGCTTCAGGGAAACTCTATCCAATGATATAATGCTTGTAAGCACAGTGTAAAATATGAAGGTGTCATAAGGAAAGAGTTCATAAGTTGTGAAGGTTGAAATTGAATCCAAAAACAAATTGGCGGCCTTCTTAAAATTTCGAGTGGCCATGCAGTACAGGCCTTCATACACTTTCAAACGATTCTTTCTTTCCCAGTCACCTCCCTCTTCAAACAAGCTGGTATCAAAATCCAGTAGGATAATAGATAAGTTATAACTGATGTTTTGCTGAAGGCAGAACAATGAAATTTAGTAGACAAATTTACTTTTTCACTTACTTCTTTGCTTTATCAATGCTCTTGTAGATAAGATCAAAATCCATGTAGAAAAAGCCAATCTGCAATGTGTAGAACACCAAATCCATCTTTTGCCCAACTGCGACTGTCTTGCTCTCTGTGACCTTTAATTGTTCCAATGCTTTCTCCTAGGTTCATACACGAAACAAGTAAGATGTGAGAGAGATACTGCTGAAATGTAGATAGATGTTAGGCAGGAGTATCAATTGCAGTAAACTATTATCTTTTTTACCTTATCACCTATTTGAATGTAGTAAAGCGATTTAGCTAAATGGGCTTCTCGAACTTCACTTTCACCTAAGTTCTCTTCGGCATCAGCTATCCTAAGGAATGGTAACAAAGCAGAGACGTGTTCAGCGTATTCAGGTGACACCAATTACTCATCCACAGATCACATCACCAGAATCCATTAAGAATAATCTATCTTCCATGAAGAGAAACAGGTGCAGTGCTTCATTAGCATTAAGAAAATGAAATACAAAAAAAAAAAGACCTAGCCTTACCCAAGCCATTAAGAACAGTGCTTCTAGAACTATGTCAAGGCTTTCTTTTTATGTCTTTTATTATCTCTGGCTTTTCTGATTATGTGGAGAATAAAAAGGCAAAACCATCCCTACATTTTCCATCCCTAACTTAATTCAATAAGGATAAAAGGTAGTTCAATTATTAAGCTATAATAAGCTGATCCAGAGAGAAATTTATTGAAAAGAGGTAAACAGACATAATTATGCAAGGCTGAAAATACCATATGCAGTTTAATATCCACAAACCATGAAAAACAAGGTGGAAGCTACAAACTAGACTAGGCCCAAAAAAATAGCTTCTGGGAAAGAGGAATGCTAGCCAAAAAAATTATGGGAAAATTTATAAGAAAAAAGAATATACATCCAAAACCTTCACTTTGGTTCTGAGCAATATCTTCGAAAAAAATTTCGCTTAACTTTTCCAAGCCAGGAATGTCCAGTTCGTTATCCTCAATTGCATTTGTGTGTTCAATCACATCCCTCAATGCTAGAGGGTCAACTCCAAATATGATCATGCCAGTCACAAATATCTGAAAATATACAACTTATGTGCAGGAACTAAAGTATTCTTCCACATAGAAAAGGAGCTGCCTCTAATTTATTGCATCATCAGTTCAAAATCATAATATCTATCAAAACACCCATTCTTAGACCCTATCCCAGTCAAAAAGCCTTAATTTATGGCCAAATCAAGAAATTCATTGTCATGCTGTAAATGTGAGGGTTGTGGAGAGGAAAAGAGGGTATGAAGAGAGAAAGAAAGTGATAGTTCAGGCTACAACCTTGCATCTCACAAATACAAAAAAATACATTAGTGTCCCTTTACTAGTTGCACCGTCAACCCTATATAAACAAGCATGTGAATTATGAAAGTCTAAAAAGGGAAAAGACTGATCCTTTAACCTTAACTGTTCTCTACTTATCATTCATATAAAAGCTTAGACATTAAAGCATCCCTCATGTATGGGCTAATGACTCTCTTGACATCATTACTTTCTAGTTTCATTGAAATTTAAATTTAAAAAAGAAAAAGAAAAAGAAAGAATTTCATTCAAACCCTCGTTATGTTCTAGTCATCCCCTTATTCAGGCCAAAAAAAAAAAAAAAACAAAAACAAAAACAACAACCCATTCTCAAATTTTTACCCTGGGTAGACTATAATCCAAATACCCATACGATTAAACACTTCTCACCTCCAAAGCCAGTCAATCAAGGTCACTTAATCCATTTAACTGCTTGCAGTCAAGAACTTTATGCACATTCAGTAGATGCACTAGGACCAAGTTCAGAATGCTTTCTCATTGAACCGTAAATCAACCCTAATAATTCTGCTTAAAAGCATAGCTAACATGAACATGAATTACTTAGAGCATAAAAACATTTTTGAGACCAAAAACTTTTCCTAAAATTGATCCTGTCCCAAGACTCCCAACTAGCTCCCTTAGCTAAAATGTTATAATTCAAACTTATTCAGAATCAAAACCTCCACAAGAATCTAGAAGCTCTTATCTCATCTTCTCCTGCATTTGTCAGCATCAAACAGGGGATTAAACAACAAGTGAAAGCCCAAAAAAACTCACTTCTCATCGAGCTTCTTAACCTCTTTCTCGTTGTTGGCACGCATTGACTCCAAGACGCTCTGATCCAACTCCGCCACCTTCTGCGCCACTAGGGTTTCTAAAAACGGAGCCATATCTAACTCATCACATCAAAAGAAACAATAAACTGTTAGATTAACATCATGAAACACTGATTAGGTGAAAAATGGCGTGTATTCGGTGCGTTACCATCGGCTTTGACCGATGCGATCACCTCGTCCTTGAGGCGGACCTTCTCGATGTCCGCAACATCAGGATGCTTCAGGAGGAAGACGCTGCGGGCTAGTATGAGTTGCGGTTGCTGAGTTCCTTCTTGTGCTTCCATGGCGGATTTTGAGTTTTGCTTGAGCAAGGAGAAATCCGAGATTGAAGAAACCACAGAACCGAGAAACGGAGGCTTATAGCACCGAATACACACCATTTTTGGATACTCTTTTTTTGCCAAAACGACAGTTTGCCCCTTAACTTTGTAAACTTTGTGTGTTTTTGCCTTTAAGTTTTATTTCAAAGATATATGGGTTGTTTAATATAGGAGTTGAGGGTTAGCAGTTAACGATTAACCATTTTGTAATGTTCGGTAGATTAATTGTTTCACCAATGTTAAATATTTGGTGTTTAGTAAATCCTTCTATTTAGTGGTTTGATAGTAGGTTACTAGTTAAAGTCCAATTTACTAGTGTATTGAAAAAACTCTCTAAAATAACTTTTTATCTCAATTTGTTAATGAATTGAAAATTTTAAATTATTATGAAAAATTTATTTGTTAAATAACTAAGCATAAAATACAAGATTAAGGCCCGAGTTAAGCTCCAATAACCACAAAATCTCAACCTTTATATCAAATAATGAACTATTTAAGTTTTAATAAGGCCATGTTAAGGTCCATCAAGTTGCCATTTCTTCTTAGGTATTTAAAATTTAGAAATTGAATAAATTTAAATCAATAACGGTTAGATTAACATCATAGGACTGAATACTTTTTTTTGTTTTTTTGAGTTTTCTTACGGCATATGTTAAGATTACTTTTTCATTATAAGTTTGTATGGAAAAATATAGAAGTTAACATTAATTTTTTTTTTTTTTTGGAAATTGGCAAGCAATTTCGTTGAAATTGAAGATCATATCAACATTCACACCCAAGCATACCCAGGGAAAAACCCTAACATCAAAACTTTAATCTCATAAAGTTCAAAATTTCTCTACATATCAAAGTATCAGACTTCCTTTTCCCTTGAAAAATTCAATAATTCCTCTTCTACCAAATAAAATAAATAATGGCAGTAGGTGCAGCTCTTACCTTCCTTTTGCTCTCTCTTCTTCCCTTACAAGCTCACTTAATCCATCTCCATTCATGAGTCCAAGCACAAGGGTTTCAGTGAATGCCAAAAGAACCTAGCACCTCACTCCAAATACTTCGTGAAAAGTCACAATCAAAAAAGAGATGCTCATAAGTTTCATTTTTTGTTTCACAAAAACAACATCGAGTATTTATTTCCAAGCTTCTTTGAACCAAAAGGGATTTAGTCTTTAATCTGCCTCTTACCACAAGTTATAGTAGGATGCTATGTCTTGGGAAAATGCAACTTGACCACACTAAACCATGCTAGTCAACTTTCCCTCTACTCCTCATTATATCATAACAACTAGAGATAGAAAACATTCCATTTTTAGCTGGTTTCCACACTGCAGTATCCACTAATTGAGACAAAGTTTGTTGAGAGATGACCTCAGCAATATCAGGATGCCTTTGCACAAGACTATCTAATATACTTCGTTCCTCTCCAATCCACTAATCATAAACCTACAGATCATGCCCCCAAATAAAGATCTGAATTTAAGAGAATATCACTCAATCTTGGGTCACCCATCCACTAGTCATAGAACAAAGAAGTTTGTCTCCCATCTCCCGCTTGTACCCATATAAGCTCTTTCATCACTAGCCTAAGTTTTAGAACCTGCCTCCATATCTAGGCACAATTAGTTGGGATCTCTACTTCCCAAAAATTTTTACCTTTCAATAAAACTTGCTTTGCTTCGTGAACCCAAATATAATCATGATTTTTGCATATGAGCCACACTAGCTTACTTAAGGCAGCTTTATTCCATACGTCTAGTTGCTTGACTCCAAGCCCACCCTCACATCTAGGAGTACACGTATCATCCTATGCTACCAAAGCCATAGCACTTTGATTCCACTTTCCACTCCAAATGAAGTGTCTACATGCTGAGTTAATATTCTTGAGAACCTTTTTTTAGCCGTAAAAGAGCTCCACTTCAATACACCTGTAAATGGAACAACACTGAATTCACAAGTTGAATTCTCCCAGCATAGGATAAAAGCTTTGTAGCCCAAAAGCTGACCCTTTGTTGTACTTTCTCAACCACAAGCTAGCAAGTCACTAGAGACAATTTAGTTGTTACCAAAGGGAGGTCTAAATATTTAACTAGAAGTTGCCCCTCAAAACTCATGTTGTTTTCCTACCCAACAATTTTACTTCAATCAAACTCTTACTACAATTCTATCTTATCTTATTATATTATACTTCTAAAATTTATTGAAATCTTTAATAAATTTTGAATAAGTATCTAATGTCTTGTTAAAATTCCTTTAAAATGTCAAATAAATATTCAATCAATCTTTCAAAATCTTCAATAAATAATTATAAATATAATTTTAATTTTAACTATCAATACCTCAATTTGATTCTACAAATTGATTTGGAAAAAAAAAATTAAATCCAATAATTTCTCTTTCTATGCTTGAACCAAATTGATTTATCAACTTAAATTCCAAATTGATTTAACAATTTTAATTGTATAATAGTTCAAATTCAATATTATTGCATAAAAATTATTAAAATCTTCAATAAATATCAAATAAATACTTCATAAACCTTTTTAAAATTTTTCTAAAACCTTAAATAAATAGTAAATGAACCTTTTAATAAATATTTATTGAGGAAGTTGAAGTTTAATTAAATTAAATTAATACCATTTTCAATTTCTTAGTGAGCACGATATATATAATTCTTCATATAATAATATTTAATAATACTTTAATCATATCAAATTTCCCTATCAAGTATTTTCAAATCCCACTTCAATTACCCTATAATAATTTGACTTCTATATCTACATATTATTAAAGTTCAAAATAACTTACCCAAATTATAACCTTACTTTTAGTTTAACTATATAATATGTTTAGTTTAAATTCACATTATATTATATTCAAAGTGAACTTTGTAAATTTATTCTTATTTACTCATTATTCATGGATTAAGGGAGTAATGATTATTAAAATGTAAATAATTTTATATAAATGTATTTCTTAATAATAATTACTAAAATGAATTTGTCTAACGTATACTTTAAAAGTACAATAAATGTTACCTTTTGCAATTAATTTAAATGAAAAATCACAAGCGTTTTCCTTTATTTTAAAATCATTGCCTCATGGATAGTTTCAATTAGTCAATTGATTAAATTAAAATTAACACTTATATTTTTCATGCAAATTAATTTTAAAAAGTACAATCAATGCACCCTTAACAAGTGGTTTAAAGGCACATGATAAAAACCATATTAAAATATTAAGAATTACGAATACCTACAAATTGCAACATACAATTGATGTGTTTCAACTTGATAATAACTATATCAACTTGAAAAGTCTAAGATAAAAATTATAAAATGAGTTCTAAATGAACCACATAAGTGTAAGTGAGAAGTAAGAACATCTATAAGAAACTTAAAAATAAAGAAAGAGACTTTACAAGAAACTTAAAAATATTTTAACATTTCTTTTGTCAAAGTTTAAACTATGTATTAAAAATTTATGAAAATAGTAAAGTCAGAGCCTTTAAAGTCTCTCAATACATTCATTAAGATAAAGTTAAAATAAGTCTAATTCACACACTACAATAAGGGATGATCATAATCGACAGCAATTGGCTGTCAATTATGTGTATATTCGACAAGCAATCAACTGTCGATTACTCTCAATAGTTTTTGCCAAACATAATCAACAGTCAGGTGATGATTGATTATAAACATAACCGACAAGTACTACTATCGGTTATACATCTTAACTGACTAAAATAATTTCTATCGATTATACCAATTTTCTACCATCATTTTTTTGGCAAATATTCCTGTCGATTATGTTATAACCGACAAAATTCTTGCTATTATCAACAATATTTTTAGTTGAATATATTGCGTTTTCTACTAATGTTTAGAAAATATAATGCTTAGTAGCTACTCTTACTCCTCCAAAGGATATTTGACTTTTTAGTAAATTTACCTCCAAACTAGAGACTCTCAAAAATTCATCAAACTTGTCCATCATCAACATTATTGTCAAAATCGAGAGCTAGCTTGTAAACTCGCACAATTTTATGTTCTTAAGGATGAAAAATGAGTTTAATCATCTATAAAATTGGGATTTCATGAACTTGTGATGGACTCATCATAAACTCCTAAAATCATCTGAAATCAAATGAATGCACGAGTTTACAAAATCTATACTTTTGCATTGGGTCACAATGGATTGGCTTTGAAATCATTGCCCATGCTTCTAGTTGTAGGTGTTATCTTTTCTTTGTTTGATTTAGAAACTCTTATTGATGATCTATTTCCAAAAGGAGCAAAGAAGCATGGAGAAAGGAAGCTTAAATGGAGCAAAAATGGAAGAAATCTATTGCCCAAAAAGGAACAAGGATGAAAGAGTAAGCCGGGTTGAAAGGAAAGCAAAGAAGGATAAAATTTGTTGAAAAAAAAAAGAGTAGATAAGAAGAAAGGGAGCTTGAATGGAGCAAAAATGGTAGAAAAGAGGAAAAATGAGAGTGGAGAAAACAATGAGGTGAAGGGATCAAGGGTGGTCATTTTAATAGGGATTTGTTGACAGGTGGGATTAGATGTAGGTTTTTTTTTTTACTTTTTTTCTTTTTAATTTTTGAATAAAGAAAGTGAATGTGATTTAATTTAAACAATAATTTCTCTTTTTAATTTTTTTATTATTAATTTTTTTATTTTATCATACACTATAATATTAAAATTTAATTCTTGTTAGAGTTATTGTAAACTTTAACCCCATATTTGATTGTTTGTTGTTAAATTTTAGTTATGTTAATATAGAAGTATAAATTTTTATTATTTATTTATTAAATTTAATAAACTTTTGATTTTATCAATTTGATTTTATGATTCTAATTTCATTTGGCCAAAACAATTTTAAGTAAAATCTCGATTTTGACAACCTTGATCATCAATGCTGGAGATATTTCATCTGCTTTACAAAAAAACTATAATATCATCAATAAAAATTAAATAAATCAACTTTACAACTTTACAACTTTACATTTAGCATGGAACTTGAATTGTGCATTTGTTTCAAGTTCTAACAGTTTCCTCATCAAATATTCCATGATTAGAACAAAAAGATAAAGGGATATTAGGTCACCCCATCTTATACCCCCTCTTCCCCACAAAATACTATTTTGGTTGGCCATTTATAATTATAGAAAATCTAACAGTAGATAAGCATAACCAAATCCATTGAACAAATCTATGAGGAAAGTTCAAACCATGCAGCAAATCCTCTAAAAAAACGCCAATAAAAAAATCATAAACCTTTCTCAGATCAATTTTCATCAAACATATAAGAGTGCCACCTTTCTTATGATAGCTTTTAACAAGGTCTTAACTAATAAGCAGTTAGACATTATTGATCTACCTCTTACAAAAGCAGCTTGGTTATGACTCACCAACTTCTCCAATGCCTCATTCAGCCTTTGTGTCAAGAGTTTGGAAATCACTTTGTATATAACATTGCAACAATATATAGGTCTATAATCACCAACTGAATTAAGATAGTTTGTTTTTGGCACTAGAGTGTTATTAGTTGCATTTATTTGACCCATAATCTTCCCACTCTCAAAGAAGTTCAATACTGCTTTGATTACATCTCCTTTAACTATGAGCCAAGCTATCTTTTGAAAACCTATAGTAAACCCATCAAGACTAGAAGATTTACCATTAGCGATTGATTTCATAGCAACCTCCACATCCTTCTCAGAAAAGGCCTACATAATGAGTTAGTCTCTTCCATAGTCAATATTCTACCCTTTTGTATATCTAACAAATCAGCACTCTAGACATCCTCTTTAGCCTTGCTAATCAAATTTTGGTAATACAACAAAAACTCCTTCTCAATTAACTTAGGTTACACCACTTGTAAGCCTTCAGAGTCTATGATTGACCCAATAATACTCTTATGTTTCCTTTCCTGTATTTTAGCACGGAAAAAAGAAAAGTTAGTATCTACCTCCCTCAACCATGTACATTTACATGTTGAGCTACAAGAGATAGTTCAGCATTAACCAGCTTGTGGTAAGCTTGTTGTACCACTCCCTTTCTATTAATCAAGTTTTCATTAAAATGACTTGTTGCCACTTACGCTTGGATAGTCTCCAATTTTATTCATGCATCAGTAATCTTTTTCTACAAGTCACTAAAATATTGCCTATATAAACCCTTTGATTTACCCTTAACTATATTTAACTTTTAAACCACTATAAACATAGGACATCCCCTAACTTGAACCTGTTAAGCCTCTTGAACTATTAACATAAATTGCTCATGTTTAACCCACATGTCACAAAATTGAAAAGGTTTTGGCTTCTTGTCAATAGAAATGTCAATTTTTACTAAGCATAGAGAGTGATCCAAAGTACAAGGATTGAGAAAGGAGGCTATAGAATTACGATAAAACAAATCTAAGTAATATTTACAAGAGCCCTATCAAGTTTGCACCATAATCTATCTTCCCTAACTTGATGATTACACCATGTATACAAGTTACTTGAAAACTTAAATAAAAAAGCTCCATAATAGTGGTAAAATCATGCATTTCAGAAATGTCACTTGGACACAATCCACAGCTCTTCATTCTCTCATCATGTTTAAGAGTCGTGTTGAAATCTCCCAAAACAAGCCATGGTTCACTAACAGGCCCCAGACTAAAGAATTGTTTTCACAAGGACTCTCATTTAGCTTTAACATTAAAAGCATATACTGCAAAACAAAGAAAAGATAAGTTTCCCCCAATAACAAACACTCTACAATGCAATAATTGAGCACTCTATATTAACTTAGTAATAGTTACCACAGATTTATTCCAAAAAAGCTAATTATTTATTTCATTATAAGCATTATTATAATTGTGTATCTAGCCCCACTAATTCCCAAATTTTTACAAAATTCTACTACTATTCTTAATTTAACTCTAGTTTCTAAAATAGCCATAAAAAAAACATTATTCTTCAAAAGAAAACTGCTAACAGTACTTGTCTAATAGAGTCACTCAAACCCCTAACATTCCAAGCAACAAGACAAATCATTTGTAAAAAAAAAAGAAGAAGAGATAATTGTACCACCTCTAGCATTTTACATCTCTCCTTTACTACCAGTAGCTAGTGTTATCAATAGCGAATAATGGCAAATAGCAAAAAGGCCGAAATCCGCTATGATAGCGTAGCGGGTAGCGTAACGGCCGCTATAGACAAATAGCGAGTATTTAATAAAAAAAATTAAAATATAAATCTAATAATTAAAATAAGAGACAAATCTAGTAATAAAAAGCATAAATTGACCTAAGAGTTTATAAAAATTATCAAAATTTGTAAAAAACAATATTCTCAAGTTTTAACAAATAAAAATCATAGATTATATTAATCAAACAAGCCAATAAAATACTTAAAGAGTACAAAAATCAAACAAGATCAATTCAGAAAAAAGTCAAATAATAAAACTTTAAAACAAAAAATCATTCAAGAGTCTAATAATCTTTATCACTCTCTTCAACTTCTAATTCTTCTTGCTAAGCCACCAAATCATCATCATCCTTGTTTTTCTAACTTGTTCCATCAGGCTCAAACTCATCTTCTTCCTCCTCTGACTTTTCAAGATTTAATAAAGTATAAGCTTCTTCACTAATTCTAGTAGCATAAATTGCATCAACACTAGAGCTTGTGGCTGGAGTTTTAAAAGTTAGTGTTGGAATTTGAGAGGTGAAGGCTGTAGCGGTATTTCTTTTTGCTTGTCCCTTAGTATAAGTTCTAATTTCTCTTGCCCCTAATGCTCTCTCCACATCTCCCCAAGTCAAATTATCATTTTCAAAAACCAAATCATTATGAGCATCTTCAACTTCACCACTTTCTCCAACCAACCACTCATTATCGAAATCGATCTCATTTAGAACAATAGGATCAATCTCGTCTCGCGTATCATAACGAGCTTTAAGAGCTTGGTTGTACTTTACAAAAACCAAATCATGCATTTTTTGGTGGTCAGGTTGGTTTCTCTTCTTAGAATGAATCTGAAATAGCAAAAAGAAAAAGAGAAAAAAAGCAGAATTTACATTCTCTTTATTTTAGAAAATATGTTTGTTAAAAAAAATTTACTTTTTAATTCATTCATTCAATTAATAGAAAATAAAAATAGAAACTTACTTGTTCAAATACACTCTAATTATGCTCACATTCAGATGCACTACATGTCAAACTCAAGATTTTAATAGCCAACTTTTGTAAATTTGGCGCCGAATGACCAAACAAAGTCCACCATTCAACTATAAAAATGCAAAACCTTACTTGATTAGTGAATTTAAAATTATTACAATTAATTATTAAGCAAGTGACAAAGGAAGGCAACTAAAAAGGATAAAATAATAATAATTTTAGCAAACGAAAAAAAAAAAGAAGAAAAAATAGAAAGCATAAAGCTATTCAAGAAAAATAAAATGATATCATACAAGTCTTACCAAGTGATTTCAAGTCCTTTGATTTAATTGCTAAGTCATCACCAAAGCGACCTTGAGCTCTATTATAAATTGGCACTTCATCATATATTTTGAGTTGCAAATTAACATCAGGCTCCATCTTCTTAATGCAATCCATCAATCCACCAGTTAGTTTCAAATCCAAATCCATATTTGGAGTGCTATAAAAAATTGCAAGATTTAAGTAATGAGCTACTGCATGCAAGGGTTGATAAAGTTGGCATTCCCATCTATTGTCAATAATTTCAAAGATTTCCTTGTACTTGCTTTCATCATCATGTTGCAATCTCTTAATGGCATCCTTAGCTTTGGTCATTGCCTCGTAAATATAAGGCATTGCCGGCTTACTTTCACTATCAACAAGCCACAAAACAGTCACAAGAAGACCTATAACCCTTAGAGTATATAGCACATTATTCCAATATGAAGCAGCCATTACTGTACTTACTACCTTTACTCCTTTGGCATCTCTAGCCAACTTACTACTTGTCCATTCATTAGAGGTAAACATCTTTTGAAGGTTGGCCTTTTGCTTGTACACACTTTGCAATAAAAGAAAATTCATAGCAAACCTTGTCACTCCATATCGAACCAACTCTGTCTTGTTAGTGAATCGCCTCATTAAGTTTAAGGTGCTTGAATGGTTGTAGATGAACCCAATAAAACTCATTGCTCTTTGTATTGTCTTCTTAACCTTTGAAATCTTTCCAATGTTCTCTAGTATAAGATCAATACAATGTGCTGCACATGGAGTCCAAAATATGTGCTTTCTATTCTCTTCCAATAATTTACCTAAGAGAAATAAAACCAAATGCATTAATAAATTAAATTTAAAGTTAAATAAATAACAAATACAATAGAATAGCTATACTTACTAGCTATAACATAATTTCTCTCATTATTTGTTATAAGTTAAACAACATGTTCTTCCCCAATCTCCTCCACAATGCTATCAATCAACTCAAATAGCTTTTTCCTGGTTTTGACAAAAGCAAAAGCATCACTAGATTTTACAAACATTGTACTAGCAGGAGAATTAACGAAAAAATGGCTTATACTTTTCTACCTCATATCCGTCCATCCATCAGACATAATAGTGATCCCATATCTTGGCCATTGTTTCCTATGATACTCTATTAATTTTTTAGTGTACTCCAACCCCTTATTTAAGCATGAAACCCTTAATTCATGGTAACTAGGAGGTTTGAGATTTTTTCCATATTGTCCAATTGCTTTTACCATTAGCTTGAAACTTTCTTAACGAGCAACATTGAAAGAGAGGCCATTTTGGTAGAAGAACCAAGCAATATATTGAATTGTTTCAGCCCTCAACTCCTTGTTAGAATCTTTTATAAAAGATTGCCTAAACTTTTCAAGCTTTCTCTTTTTGAGAGTTTCCTCAAGTTTTTGGTATATGTACAAATCCATGGGGCCTTTATGTTGCCCAATTTTGGCATTTTTACTTCTACCACCAATAAATAAAGTTGATTCTCTTGGCATAAGTTCTTCCTCTTCATCTTCCTCTTCAAGATCAACAGTACCACAACTAGACATAAACATCTCATGTTCTAATTTTTTAGTAGTGGTTTTCTGTTGTAAATTGGCCCACAACTCTTCCCTAACTGGTGGTGGGCATTTAGGACATGGAGCCACATCCCCTTTGATCCTTATTTGATGCCTTTTAGCTCTGGTGACACCACCAGTGGTAACTTTATTACAAAAGTTGCAGACCACCTGACTTGAGTTATTAGGATCTTGCAACTTATTATATTTCCATCCAATCTCATCATCTGATTTGCTTGTTTTTGATCTTGATGAATTGGTCGTTGATCCACTTCCCATGTCACTGTTAAAATCAACTTATTATATATACAATCTAGACTTCCATATTAAAAAATACATCATGGAATCAAAATTAAGATTTTATTTTTCCTATATAAACTTGCTTCAATACAAAAAAAATAAATAAATAAACAGAGGTGCATTTATAGAAGCAGAACCAAGCAAAGAAAAAAAAAATTGTAATCTAAAGTATAAACTTGCTTCCATACAAACAAAAAAAAAAAAACGACACAGAGGCGCACTTCATGAAGCAGAACCAAGCAAAGAAAAAATATTGTAATATAAAGTATAAACTTGTTTCAATACAGAAAAAACAAAAAAAAAAAGAAAAGAAATAGAGGCGCACTTCATGAAGCAGAACCAAGCAAAGGAAAAAAATTGTAATATAAAGTATAAACTTGCTTCAATACAGAAAAAAAAAATCCATAAGCACACTTGCAGAAGCAGAATCAAGCAAAGAAAAAAAAATTGCAACATGCTTTCATGTCTTTCTAATTCCAACCTTTTGTTCTGGTGTCAAAAAAAAAAGAAAAAGAAAAAAGGGAGAGACGACATTTGCAGAGCAGCAGAAGTAGAACTAAGCCAAAAAAAAAAATTATAACATGCTTGATCACTGTCCAGTGATAAGATTAGTGCTTACTTGAAAGATTACTTGACATTGGAGATGATATGGTGTGCAAAACTACAGATCAGTGCTCAATCGTTGTCCCTCCAGTTACAGGAGATGTGAAGGGGTAAGCTCTGTCAGAGTTGCAAGCTATGGTTGATGGAGACTAAGAGGAGAGTCGAAAGGAGAGTTGCAAGCTATGGCTGATGGTGTGCAAAGTGTATAGGAGAGTCGAGAAGAGAGTTGGGAGGAAAAAAGTCGGAAGACCAGATGTGGCGGGATGAGACCAGATGCGCAGGCAAGATGAGGCCAGAATCCAGATGCGATGAGTTTTAGTTTTTAGGGTTTTCTTTCTTTAATTTGTAAATAGAAAAGTTGAAAACACAAAATTATGCTTAAAATTTTTTAACTTAAAATTTTAATGGGGGTCAACATGGTAATTTGACCAAAACAGTTAAAAATATTACATAACAGCCACTATATGCACTATCTGCTATACAAATAGCGGCCGTTATTAACAGTAATAGCGGCCGCTATTGACAAAACGCTACACTATGACAAATTTTCATAGCGGCCATAGTTGGCCGTTACGCTATGCCGCTATAGCGGCCACTATAGCCGCTATTGACAACATTGCCAGTAGCATTTTCAACAAAATCAATCTTCCTATAGTTTTGCACTACCACAACAGTTCCACAATGATTATCAATTGTCAAACCTGCATTGAAGTCACTTTTGAATTCATTTTGAGCACCTAATGATAACTCGTAGGAGCTACCACTTGAGATTTAACTTTAGATTTATAAGTTCCACATCTGGAGTTAGCACATTATGTTGTACTAAATTAGTAACAAGCTTCTTTACCAGCCGTATCTTCTTCATCTTTGCCTTGTAATTCATTTCTTCATGTCCAAGATTGTTATCTTTTCCAGAACAAATTGGGGCCATTCAAAAATTACTAGTTGCTAAAAAATCCCTTTAAGACCCACCACAAGTACCACCCTAGGTAATTTCTTCATAATTTCAACCTCCACCAGCATATGGGCAAATGATACTCATTGCCTTTTAGTAGTCAAGGCATCTATAGTAATCGGAATCCCCAACTAGTAATCTTGCCTAAGACTTTTAAGATTCATACACTTAAATGAAGATTAAGAAATTGAATCCAAACCAAAATCTTATTCATATCCAAATTATCTAGATCAATATCTGGAGTTCATTATTTCAGAATAAAATGGTGGTCATTGAAAGTCCATCCCTTTTTAAGCACAACTTGCTTTACATCTTTATCAGCAAAATCAAATAAAAACACAATGTTACACAGCATAAAAGCTTTAGGCACTTGACATTCCTTCCATTGATTGTTCACAAAATTGGCCATGTCCTTGAAACTAGGTTTGGTACCTAATACATACCTAATAAAAGCAGTTTCCTAAATCTTGGATCCTTTGTTTCATTCGTCATTAATTATAACCATTACACCAAAAGGATCTTGAGGTTTTACATATTGCAATTCCTAACCCTTTCTTATATCTCTGTTCCCTTGAAATACAGAAGACTAACTTTTCATTGGCTTCTACTTTACAAGGGCAAAAAACCCTCGTCCCCCTCTCAGAGCATATCAACCCATCTAACTTCTAAAGGTTCAACATTTTTTGTTCCAAAGGCAATAGCAACATTGAAACCAAATTGAAACTTTCCTTGGTCCCTATGAGACTCAAGAACCACAATTTTCTTACCCTTAATCTTGCTTCTCTTATTTGAGTATTGTTTTACAGGCTTGTTGCTTCTTTTCTTTGAGCATTACTTTATAGACCCATGGCTATCTTGGATTTTCCCAACCTCAGACTTAGTTGGGATTGCTCTATTCACACCATAATCACTTGGGTCAAGCTGTAATTCATCCACCTCCATAAATTACACCCTATCTGAGCAAGTTTGCTAGCTGTCAACTTAGCCACCTCCACTTATTCCTTTGTAGCATCCTTTAACACGCTCTTCCTTACATCATTATCACTTTTAGAGCCAATAGCTCTTTTCAACATGCCACCCTTAGGTGGAACAAGCTGATGGTTAAAATGAAGTTAATATTATTTTTGTCTTTTAATCTTAATTTATTAAGGAATATTAAACAAATAAACCAACAACCTTAGGAACTTTCCCTAAAGGGGAAAGAAGAAAAGTACTTAGCTTGAAGATGATGGTTCTCCCCCTTTCTCCACATTTCTTCTATTGTTCTTTGTTTTTTTATTTTTTCATTTATTTTAATTTATTTTATTTGTTTTAACTTTTTCTTATGTTGCTTAACAAGTTTTTTTTGTCTTGAATTGTGGGTCTTCATTTATGTTTAACTATATCTTTCTATCATGTAAAGTTTGTCTCTTTTGATATTAATAAAAGTAATAGTATGTATTTTATAAGATCTAGGTTTTTTCAATAGGAATTTTTAGGTATTATTGTCATCTCAAAAGTTTTTCTAAACATAATAAATTTCTTCTTTAGTTGTAATTCAAATATGCATACTTTATATTTGAGCAAGTATTCAAAGTACAATTTAATTTTGTTATAATATTATTCTTAATTTTAAAAAGTGTTTTTTTCATTTTGTCTTATAGGTTTATACAACCTAACAAAGTTAAACGACATTAGAGACAATGATATTTATTTTTCTGATTTTCTTTAATTATGAAATGAAATTTATCAAGATTTCACATAAAATATTTAGGAGAAAGTGGAAAAGGAAAAAAGAAAACTCTTCATGCAATATGGAAATAAAGCTATTTAATCGACAAGAGTTTAGTTATGTTGATTGTCACTTTAAAAAGATTAATTGTTTTGATTTCTAAAATTTATATGAATAATTAAGGTGCATTTGGATTAATTTGTTTTTAGCATGACTAAAAATGTTAAATTTATTATACAAGAACATTTTTTATGGAAAAATGTATAATATTTTTTAAAATATTTATCACATGTCATACATTAAATTTGTATTTTAATCATAGCAGAAAACTAACAAAAAGCCACAAAACTACAATGCCATGCTAATAGACTATCTATCAATCCCAAATTAAGACTGTTTAAGTAACTTGGCTAATTGTGATCAGTAATTGAGTAGGCAGTATTTTTTAGGTTGGATTTGGGATTGTTTTCTCATAATGTTTATTCACACACTAATCCAAATAGACAATAATAAGAGTAAATGACCACTTTAACAATGACAGGAGTAAATTGCCACTTTATTGGTTTATGAGTGAAAATTTAATAAATATTATTTTGGAATAAGAAAACCATCATTCATAAACTTAGAAAAGTAGAACATTACAAAACATGGCCAACCAATTTTTTGGGGTTTGCCATTGAAAAGTCATGCCTAAGGAACTCACAAAAGTGAAAATTATGCAACCCAAAATTGAAACACAAAATCAACCTAAAAAGAAAAACCGCTTATATGAAAGATGAATATAATGGGGAAAAGAGATTAGTAGCAAAAGGTGACTGAATTATAACATTTAGCTATTTATATTAGTTAATTAAATTGTACCAATTAGCTATAAGGCTCTGCTAGTACTAACCCTACTTGTCCAAAGAAAGTAAACAAGAATAAATAATATATTAGGCAGATAAAGAGAGGGAAGGAGAGATTTTTTTACATCAACAACAAAATGCCATCAAGTAATGGTATAAAATAGCATTCATGAGGTTGACAAATAAACATTTTTATTCAAAACCAATTCATATTCAGAGTAAACAACACAAAAACATAATAAGTAAAACAAAAACACTTCTAATCATAGTATTTAATACTATTGATAATATGTTATACTAATATGGGGTCACATGTCAATTGGAAAAGGAAGTCAACCTTCCATTTCTAGCACTCGTTTCTTGGCATATGCGATATTTTACTTCTTGTCTCCATTTGCTTTCTATCTTAATCATTCACATTTACAAGGTTAAAAAGATGTGATTTGACTTGGATGTTTTGAAAGTCTCAAATAATTTTTTAACTGCAATAATGAGCTTGTCAATATTTATTGCACACTTCTGCTATTATCATGACTAATCAATTCAAAAAAATTTAATATCTAAGACATTCAAATTTGAAGAGTTTGCAAACTGACAAAATAAGTAAATATTTAACTTATCTTATATTATAGCTCAACAAAAATCTTCATTAATTAGATCTATGTGTCTTCTTACATTATCTTATTGGATAAATATTAGACTTCTTAAACCATTTCTTGGTCACTTTCCTTGAATGACAAGAACTTTTTCAATCAAATATGATTTGATGAGATTTTTATTGACTGATATAATCGCCTTAGTCTCTAATATCCCTGTGACTCATTTGCACTTATCCTTGGCTCTTTTAATAAAAGGAAGTATCCTAATCTTTTCATTAAAAATCTCATTTTCATGCACATCAAATCTTGGTCAAGCTATAGCAAGTAAAAACATAAATTTTGTAATGTGATTTTTGCTTGTACATATACATAATGAATCTTCTTCAATAAGCAACAAATAGTAATTTTGTGTCTTTTTTGTTATGTAGAATCATTACTCATCTATGTGAACAACATTAAACATGTTCACAAACATTGGATTATGTGGCATACTATTTGCATCAAGCATTGATATGCAAAATTATAGATAAATCTTTTATTTTCTTCTTTTAAAAAGGGTTTTATAGTATTTGAGTGACATCTTATAAAACTTTTTAATTGTATGAAGTGTTGACTTACTTGTTTTCAATAATTCAATTGAAAATTGAATAGTTTTTTTTTTTTTTTTTGAAGAGGAATTTTACTTAATCACTCAAAATAAATCACCACTTCCTTACTACCATAATTTCTTGACATTTTATATGATACATCAACACTTTTGCCATTAGTTAAATGCCTCTTTCCTTATCTCCAAATATGTTTGAGTAGTTTGCGTGGATATTTTAAATTGGGAAGTAACCATTTTTGTAGTGCTATGTTTCAGTCTCCCATCAACACTTTTCATCAATAAGATATGATAAATAGAATAATATAGATTATTAGATAAATTCTCAATAGTTCTTTGAGATCCCTTTTGAGATATATCAGTTGCTACTGACAAACAAGAACTTTGAATGTATTTAAATACTAAGAACTTGTTATCATTGAATGAAATTATATATTTAATCTTAACTGAGAATAAAAATGGAAAGAAATTTACCAACAAAAAAAATGTATAAAAAATGCAAATGCCAATCCAAGTTTTGAATTCAACCAAACTTGTGTAATCATAAAATTCAAAGTGAATTCAAAATTAATTGAGCATAAAAATGGACAAAAAATGCAATTTTAATCCAAGTTTTGGACTAATTACCTTAATGCAAATTTGAATATATAAGAACAACAATAATAATAAAGCAACTATACAAAAATGAAATAATTTCATGTACTTTTTATTTTTAATAGCAAATAGAAAAATTTAACGCAAAGAGAACAATTATTCCACACAAGAAATTATAGCAATTGCTTTATAAAGAAACCACAAATATACATTATCAACAAACAAACAATCAACCCAAACAAGACAAAACCCGACAAAAACATTAAATATTTGCCAGCAACCACCACTCAACTCAAAATATTAAAACAAGATTTTGAGTCAATAATTGCATTTGAGAGGGAATAACAACTTTGCATTCAATTTTTAATCCAAATGAACAGACAAATTTGAATGACATAAAATTTGTTTCATATCCTAAAGTAGTTGACTCATCTTCTAGAGATGGATGTGCATTCAAGTCAATCACATCAACCAAATTGTTTTTAGATGGTGTTACCACATTCAAATCATTAAATGTTGATATTGGTACATTGAGGTTTGAATCCAATTGTTGCATTCATTTTTTTTCTTGGACTCCAAATTCATTTTCATATTAATCTGTCTTCAGACATGTAAAACTAACATTCAAATCTATTTTATCCAAAGCTATTTGTTGGTGGATTTGTTGGTTGGAAGCCATGATTGAAAACTCTAATATTGTGTTTACTCTTTTAATCAGAAGAGAATAAGACTTAGAGATAGGAGAGTGAAGTAGTGGAATGGTATTTGATTTATTTTTTAAAAGGGTAAAATTGATAAAAACAAAAGTGTCTAGCAATCCTTAATTCTTAGCTAAACTAGAAAAAACATCAATTAGTCTGGGATAGATGGAGTATAATATGACATTAAATGAATATATGTATATAATAATATGTGTCTCACTAGAATCAAAACTTAAAAGAGTTAAAAAGAATTATGCTATATCATATTATAAAATTTTATTATTAAAAATGTTATCAATAAATCCTTTTTATATACTTATAATGTCACATGTGATTATAAATTTATAATTACAACATGTCATTAAATAAATAAATACCTAGAGTATTTTATTTATACTTTTAATTATATAATGATACATTATATTTATAGATTAAATATGACATTTGTGCTAAAGTTATCAATTCTTTTCAAAAAGCTAAATTAAAGCTCTTATGAATTATTATTAAACAATTAAGACTATTTTGATTTGCACTCTGTGCTATAAAATATTATAAAATAGAAACTATTAATTAGGAAACAACTTTGAATATCAAAGGGTTCATCCTTATCTAATAGTTTAAATTATATAGTATACAAACATTTTTTTGAATAATCAAATATTTAATTATTAAATAACTTTAATAAATCTTTAATTATTAAAAAACACTGAAGTCAATTAAGTATGGATTGAATGCTAATGTTACTATATGAAAGAAAGCAATAAAATGAAGGCTAACATACACAATTGACTATTCACTAACTTAAAATTTTAAATTTTAAATTAAAATTAGAAATTAAAACCTTTATAATATCAAATAGTTAACTTTTTAATATTTCAAAAAAAAAATATCCACAGCCTATGGGTGAAGGAATTTGTTTTTCACAGTTTTTTCTTTATATAGGTTGATTTTCCACAAAAGTTCTATAAGTTAAAGAGGCTTACCTCCACTTTTTCTTCTTTTTTTTTTTTTGCCAAATGAGCTATGAGAATCAGAAGACAAGAGAACGACATCGTTTGCTCGCAGTTTACACTACTTTTTTTAACATTTTTCCCTTCGTGTTAGGGCCTATTAGCGTCATTCTCATTTCACTGGCTCTCTTTCTCGGCAATGGCGGCTGCATTGCTAGCACCGGAGCAGAAGAAGCTCCCTCGGCCCGGCCGGGGCGGGTTCCAAGCCCACGGACTAACGGAAGAGGAGGCTCGGGTTCGAGCTATCGCCGAAATTGTGAACTCCATGGTGGAGCTCTCACGGAAGAACCAAACAGTGGATCTAAACGCGCTCAAATCCTCCGCCTGTCGCAAGTACGGCCTCGCACGCGCTCCGAAGCTGGTGGAGATGATTGCGGCGCTTCCCGAATCAGACCGAGAGTCTCTTCTCCCAAAGCTTCGTGCAAAGCCGGTTAGAACTGCCTCCGGGATCGCCGTTGTTGCCGTCATGTCAAAGCCTCACCGATGCCCGCACATCGCAACAACGGGAAATATATGCGTCTACTGTCCCGGTGGACCAGACTCGGATTTTGAGTACAGCACGCAGTCTTATACCGGATATGAGCCAACTAGTATGCGAGCTATCCGAGCCAGGTATGGTTTTGTTTCCGAATGTTTAATAATAATTGATACTTTTTGTTCTCAATCTATATCTTATGATTTTATCCCAGCTTCATCATTTTGTGAGGAAAAATATATATTGTTACTAACTTTAAATGAATACATAATTGCAGGTATAATCCATATGTCCAAGCTAGAAGCAGAATAGATCAGCTGAAAAGATTGGGTCACAGTGTGGATAAGGCATGGCCTATTGTCAATTTTAAATATTTTCTTTTATTGCATAACTTTACATGCTTCAGGTGTGACATGGTAGTATAAAGTTTGATGTTCTTATTGGTTTGTTTACTTGTTTTCAGGTTGAGTTCATCTTGATGGGTGGTACTTTCATGTCATTGCCAGCAGATTACAGAGACTATTTTATAAGGAATCTCCATGATGCGTTATCAGGACACACTTCTGCCAATGTTGAAGAGGCGGTTGCCTACTCTGAACATGGTGCAACAAAATGCATTGGCATGACAATTGAAACGTGAGTTATCACAAGATTTGTTTGAGATGGTTTATGCATGCTTTACATTGTTCTTTTCAACTTTTCACGGATTACCTAAGTGAACTGCTTTAAAGACTTATGTTTCAGACCATTGTAACCATTTAGTTGTGATTAAAAACCAATATGATTGGTGCTAAGATTGGGTGGTAAATGATTTAGTCTTCAGTATTTTTGGGGCTGAGATCGTAGTGCCTTTTATTGTGCTTGTTCATGAATTTGCTTTTCTGTCAAAGAACAAGGCACCAATAGGATAATAGCTGCAGCTAGCAATCTGAGTTGATTTTCCTTTTTATTTTTGTTAATTATAAAATCAGATCAGTTATAGAATGCTGTCTTCTATTCCTGCTAATTCTACCAGGAGGCCAGATTATTGCCTTGGACCACATCTGCGCCAAATGCTTTCTTATGGTTGTACACGATTGGAGATTGGAGTTCAAAGCACATATGAGGATGTAGCTCGTGACACTAATAGAGGACACACAGTAGCTGCTGTAGCAGATTGTTTTTGCTTGGCAAAGGATGCTGGATTCAAGGTATGCTAGCATCATGTCATGCATATAAGCAGTTATTGACAAGAAGATATTCTTTCTCTTTATTTATTTTAGTAAATTCTATTTCTTTGTGGAGCATCTGCAGTTGCTTTCTAGATTGTCCAGTGCATTTCTAATTTGGCAGCAAATATTTCTTGGGAAAGGTGCCAACTAGCTTAGCAGTTAAAATGTATCAATGATTGTGTCAATTTCTTGGAATCAATTTTGTCCTTCAATAAAATTGGGGTTTAGAGGGAGGAAGTTTTTTCCTCGTTTCTTGGTTTGTACCTTGTATAGTCCAACTGATTAGGGGAAAAGAGAAGATTTATTCATGACTCTAAATAGGATTTGCCTCTGTTATTTTCTAGAATCAATTCTTTGTACTTATTAAATGAATGTGTACATGGTGCATCATTTGTTCTGACCTCTGATATTAAATTTCACTTCAATAGAGTCGGTGGCATGTAGGTTGGGCTTTGCTCTTCTTTTTATTATTTTCTTTAATTATATGCTTACATTGCTGTTTCAATGTGTTTGCTTTAGGTTGTTGCTCATATGATGCCTGATCTTCCTAATGTTGGTGTTGAGAGGGACTTGGAAAGTTTTAGGGAGTTCTTCGAGAGCCCATTATTTCGAGCTGATGGGCTCAAAATTTATCCCACACTTGTAATTCGTGGAACTGGGCTCTATGAGCTTTGGAAAACTGGCAGGTATGGTGCTTGAGCCAGATTATTAATCTCTTCAAACTCTTATCTTTTTGCATAAGCTGATAGTTAAATTATTCTATTTGCAGGTATAGGAATTATCCACCAGAGCAGCTTGTGGACATTGTGGCAAGAATTCTAGCCATGGTACCTCCTTGGACACGTGTTTACAGAGTCCAGCGGGATATTCCCATGCCTCTGGTTACTTCAGGGGTTGAGAAAGGAAATCTCAGGGAGCTAGCTTTAGCTCGAATGGATGACTTGGGCTTGAAGTGCCGTGATGTTCGAACACGTGAAGCTGGAATTCAGGTAAGGGAAAAGAATCATGGTCATCTACCATTTTTGGATGGCTATTGTCAGGCCAACATATGTTGTGTATCTTAATGCTGGAATTCAGCCTTAAGCCTTCTGAAATTCTGGAGACATTTTTCATTTTGAACACAGGACATTCACCACAAAATCAAGCCAGAAGAAGTTGAACTTGTTCGCCGTGATTATACTGCAAATGAAGGTTGGGAGACATTTCTGTCATACGAAGATACACGTCAGGTACAGTATGCACCTCTTCTTTCACCTACAACCCACAAATCACTCATCTTGTTGGTGAGTGTACTTTGGGCATGCTCCATTGCCCACCTCTGTAGGAGTATATATGGACCTCTACTTGTCTCCCTACATCTCTTAAAAAGTTGCAGATCTTCTAATGCATTTTTGGATGGCTATTGGCCAACATATGTTGAGTATCTTAATTAATGACACTAATTTGTACTCCTAAATAATAATGCCATATTGATGTTGATGGGTAGCCATGATAATAGGTAGGTTGTTGGGAGTTTAATGATCAGGTTTATGTCTCAATTACTTAGCATCCGTGCATGGTCTTCAAATGGCAGTTCATAGAAAGCCTTGGGGGTCCATTGTTTCAATCTTTCCATCCATTTTTGTATCTTTTTCCATCTAGACCTACAATTACATGGTGTTATTTTATATTTGACTTATTACTTCATATGTTGTTCATAAAAATAATTTAGGGTGGTTGAAATGAATATCTTTTACCTTTGTGCGCAGGATATTCTTGTTGGATTGTTGCGGTTGCGTAAATGTGGCCAGAATGTTACTTGCCCAGAACTCATGGGGAAATGTTCGATTGTCCGTGAACTCCATGTATATGGAACTGCTGTTCCAGTTCATGGTCGAGATGCTGACAAACTGCAACATCAGGTAAATTGAGAATCTTTATTTGAAACGAAGTTTCAAATCTTTAGATTTTAGCCATGGGAAGATGGCCTTGGTTTTGGTAGTGCCCACATGTCATAATTGACTGACAGGATACTTCATATCTTCTTTGCAGGGTTATGGTACCCTTCTCATGGAAGAAGCAGAGCATATTGCTCGAAGACAGCATAGATCAACCAAAATAGCTGTTATTTCAGGTGTAGGAACCCGTCATTACTATAGGAAATTAGGTTATGAGCTTGAGGGACCTTACATGGTGAAATATCTTGTTTGACAAGACCATGGCAATATTCTACAATTTTGTTCTCTTCTTTTCTTTTCTTTTCTTTTTTTTTTTAACATCTCTCTTGTAATTCATTTGAGTGAATGAAGCTAGCGTATTAGATTTGATTAAGTGTTTACTAATTATATAATTATAAATTTTTGTATTAATAATTAAAATATATATTAAATTATATTTTAATAATTATTAATTTTTAGGTTAACTATTAATTTTGGTCCCTCAACTTTATAGTGTTGTATAATTTTAGTCCCTTAATTATTTTTTGCACTTTTTTTATCTATTAACTCTAAAAACAATGCAATTTTAGTCCCTTTGACAATTAGGATCATTAACTAATCGAGGTGGCATTTCTTTTATTTGTTTTAATGACATGGATGAATAATACGTCCTTATTAATCTTATTTGGAAAATTAAGGAACTCACTTGCCTAAATTAATTATTTATTAAATTAAAATAGTTTTAAAATGACAATTTTGCCCTTTAATTCATCTTCTATTTTTGGTCTCCTCTTTGTTTCCCAAAGGCATCTTCCCCTTTTTTTTAGCTTACCCTTCTCCATTCTCCAGGGCTTTCTTTCTCTTCCTCTTTCTTTGTCTAGATACTTCAATCTAACTTCTTCTTTCTCTTTCTTTATTCATCTTCCTCCCAACTCTAGTGCCTCTCTTCGTTCCTTTTCCAGCACCCTTCTTCTTCGCCTTTCTCTCTCGCTCCTTATTCCTTCCACATCATAGAACCCAGTGATTTGGGTTTGTTTGAACCCAAATCTGGGTTTCGCATTTGAACCCAATTTCGAGTTCCGTGGAACCCAACAACATGGGTTCAAGGAACCCGAATTTTTAGGTTTTCAAACCCATGTTTATAGATTTTTTTTCTTTAGTAACTCTTGCAATTTATATGCATATATTGAACCCTTCTGTTTGATGGATTTTGGTTTCAAATATTGTGGTTGTGGGATGGCAATTTAGTATTATGAATGCTGCAAAATTTTGTTTATATGTTTTGGTTTGGTTGTTTTTCTTGTGATTGTGATAATTAAGCTGGATTGAAGTAGTATGAATTTTCAAGGTTTTGATTTGGTTTTGTTGCAAGGTTAATCATCGGTGTTGAAAGAGAACTCTCCAAGAGAGAACTTTATTAAATCGTGGTTTTGGTTTTGTTGTTAGATTTCATTTTGATTTTGTACAATCAAAAGATTATGTTGGTTTGGTAAAAGTTTAATTATAATTAATAATTTTAATTATATAAGTTAATGGGTGTTTTTTTTTTTTTCCAACATTGCTGTACAAGTCTTAATACCACGACGCAAGCATTTTTTCCAATTGAATTATCTATGTCATCAGAAAAAATTTTAAAAAAGCCACATGAGTTGAGTTAACGGCCCTAATTGACAGAGGCATCAAAATTATGTAGTTTTTAGAGTTAAAAGATAAAAAATGTGCAAAAAATAGTTGAGGGATGAAAATTGTGCAACATTATAAAGTTAAGAAACCAAAATTAGCATTTAACCTAATTTTTAATGTAATAATTCATTAGAAAATGTTTGAATGGTAGATATAAAAGAAAATTTAAGCCCACAAATTTAATCCTTTTAATTTTGAAAAATAAAGATATATTTTCATTAAAGGATATTTAAAATTTTAGATCATAAGAACGTATTGTCATTCTTTTAATTAATATTTTATTACAAATTAAATATCACTTAATATTTAGAATGTTAATAGGTTATTGTCTTGGTATTTTTTGGCCATTGATTTTTGTTTTTTGCTATATCACATAATGTTTTATATAATAGGGAATAGTCTTTTTTTTCCTTAATTCTTTCTACCCATTTTAAGACTTCAACTTAGAATTTTGAGTTCTTAATTACTAGAAACATTCTCTCAAGAGTTTAGCCATTGATATTGTCACGGTATTTAATCATGTTTTAGTACATTATTACATTTTTTTTGTTCTAAAATAACAATGATTTTATGACTTTGAATCTTTTCTAAATTAATTATTATTTTTTAGGATAGATAAATATTTTTTATATACTTTAATCATATCATTATTTATTTATTTTAATTAATTATCTTATTACAAAAAATTTTATCCTATCTTTTAACATTTTCTAAAAATAATATAAATAAATACATAAATTGTCTTTATATTCTTAATTTAAAAAAAAAAAAAACAATTATTTAGTACAGCAGAGTAAATACTTTTTTATCTTCCAGTACATTATATTTATATCTCTCCACATATCTCTTTATTAAAATATTTCACAATCTCTAGTTCTTTATTATAATATTAAAATAATTTT